CTTGGCACAATGCAGTCAGGCAAGTACCGTTCTCCTGGCAACCGCCAAACCCAGACACGCCCATCGGATTGCCAGACAGAGAAGAGTGATTGGTCCCTCCAGAGAACACGTCTCCTCTTCTTTAGAGTCCAGTGGCGGCGTGCGTTACCCCGCAGCATCCCACGCTTTGCATTGCACTTGGTAATGTGTGGCTTGGATGCAGCTGCTCGGCCAGGGAAACCCATTCCATGAAGCTCTCTACGCACTGTTGTTGAGCCAATCTGAAGGCCACATGGAGTTTGGAGGTCTGTAGCTATTGGCTCTGCAGACAGTTGGCGACTTCTGCGCACTGTGCGCTTCAGCATGCGCTGACCCCGCCCTGTCATGTGACGTGGCCGACCACTTCCTGGCTGAGTTGCTGTTGTTCCCAGTTGCTTCCACTTTGTTATAATCCCAGTAACAGGTGACCGCGGCGGAATATTTAGTAGCAAGGAAATGTCACAGATGGACTTATCGCTCAGGTGACAACTTATCACGGTACCACGCTTGTAGTCACTGAGCTCCTGAGAGCGACCCGTTCTCTCACCAATGTCTGTAGAAGCGTCTGCATGCCGAGGGGCCTCATCCTATACACCGGGGGTCATGGAGGGGATTGGAACACCTGAATCACATGATTTGGAGGGGGAGGGGCCCAATACTTTTGGCAATATAATGTATTTATGAATGAGGCCTGCACACAGACTTTGCATTGATACGGGAGCCATTGTCAGTGCTCCTGAGACAAACCAAACTCAGAGCCGGACTCATTACATAAACTTTGTTCCTATTTATTCTTAGTTTAGCCCAATCAGCCATATTTAACTCCTTCTTCTCCTTCTCCCCTCAGACCATTCACCTTCTAACCCTCCACCCCGGCTGTGCCATGTCCCTCGGCATCCTCACGTCTAATGAACCTACATTGGACGTGATGACATCGTGGGTCTTGAGACCACCGGAGCCCGGGGCAGGAGAGGCTGCAGGGACCGGTCTAAAATGAGCACTAAACCCTTGTTGTCTGGGGGTAGCCCCACCGCAAGGGTTACTCTTTTAAAAAATCCCGAAGTTCTCCTTTAAGTAAAGAAAGCCATTGCTGAGTTAGGTTGCACCGTAGCAGCAAAGTACAAATTGCTCTGGTCAATGGGGGGTGGCAGGAGAAAAAATTAGGGTTGGCCCTAACCATAGCCTAGGGGTACATGTGCGGGAACTGGAGTGGTTAATAATAATTTTAGGAAGAAACTAGGAAGGTCATTGTATCATTGTATCTGCCGCCACCGTCTGACATGTGAGACTGTAGAAGGGTTTTGATGTAGACATACCAAGGACTCCCAGCCGGTAGTTCATAGTGACTACAATGACGTTGCCGTACGCGGCCAGCACGCTGCCATCGAACATGTTCCCCGTCCCTTCCATGTAGGATCCTCCGTGGATGAACATCATGACGGGTTTCTTGCCGCTGTCCCGGATATCTGCAGGGGGGTGGGGGGAAATAAAGACAGTTCAGAGGGTCACATGGTCAATCGAGGATTTACTGCTCCCCCTTCATACCGACAATACCCATACACCTCCACGAAAGGAGACATGTAATATCCATATTTGACGGCAGGGCTTCAAGTAAACCTGAAGAGAAACATGGAGGCTGCCAGTGCTGACCTCTCCTCTTGAAAATTCTAGGTCCCTGACTGCCCCCTTTACCATCGCACCCAGAACAAGAATATGAAATTCTGTCTTTAATTTGAGTCTGCTGATCTTCTCACTTTTATCTGAGCAGTGAGAGCAGTGGAGCCAGAACGGCGAGGGAACTAGCATTTTCAGAAGGAGCTCCCTCCAGTGCTGCTCACAGGACAACCCCTGGGTCACGGAAGGTGTAGTAGGTTATTCGTGAACAAGAAAGAGAGACTCTGGGAGACGTTGGGTCATGTGAGTGAGCTTGTTATGGCTAAATAATGAGACCTTTGGAAATTCACAGAGTCTGAGATATCTATATATATATATATATATATA